TTCAAAATCTTCTGGTTGTCTTCTCAGTGGATTCCATTTAGCAGGAAGAGCATCTAGAAGTTGTTTTGCTTTAACAAAGCATTTGTGGGGTGATGTGCATTTAGTTGTGTCCCGGATATTTCTGCATGCCGCACATCCACAGCCAGGATGAGGGGAGTGACCATGTCCTAATGAAAGTCTGTACATAGTTTCCATGTCTCCTACTGTCCTGGTTTTGTGTTCAGTCCTCAGGCACTTTGATTCCTTACTATGGTGCAGTCGACAGATGCCCTTGGATTCAGCATGTAGCCAGATAGGCATTTGTTGTAGTGTTTGGCGTGAAAATGCGAGACCTTCTAATCTTAGACCATGTTTTTTGGCAGTTGATAACATGTCCTGCAGGTCTTTTGGTAATTTCCTCTTCTCTGTGTCCCAGGATTGGAGGAATATATTTATTTTTGAAAATTCATCAACATTCTCATAGGATTTTGGGGTATGGTGTGCAATGAGGGCATCTGCCACATATGCCCAAGTTGCACGATCTGGTGATAAATCTAGGTATGTCTGTAGCCATGTTACCATTATAGCTTCATTTCGGGCCAGGATATCTAGGATTTGCCTACCACCCCTTTCAATTGGTGCTCCTACAGTTTCCTTATTGATGCGGACATGGGTTTTTTCGTCCCATAGGAATCGTTTAATTCTCCTGGTGAGTTTCTCCTCCACTTCCTTTGGCATTCCTTGTACTTTAGTCAGGTACTGAGTCATGCCACCAACTATCATAGATATTATCAGCCGTCTTCCTTCCATGGTTGGTTTGCTTCTAGCCCATTGATCAAGAGATTGATCTATTCGTTCAAGAACTTTTGTCCACGGTTCAACCTGACATATGTTATTGCCAATGAGTGCTCCAAGGGAGCGGATTGCATCTCCTTCCTGTGCAATTCGGATGTGTTCAGGAATTTTTGGACCATCTACACTATTCAGGAAGCGGGTTTGTCGGAGCAAGTCCCGGTACTCTGGTGATCCAATGGGTATGATTTCTGTCTTTCCTATATTGAACTTAGCTCCTGATGCCAGACACCAGTCGTCCAGAATTTTCTGTAGGTCATTGAAGTCATCATTTTCTGATAGGTAAACAGTTGTGTCATCGGCAAAAAAAGTTGCAATGAGTCGTTCAAGCTTTCCTGGAATTTCTAGACCTTTCAATTCTGATTTTCTCAGTGCTTCTGCTAGGGGTTCAATTGCTAGATCAAAGAGGAGACAGGAGAGAGGGTCACCTTGTCGAACCCCCCTTGTCACTTTGAAGGGTGTTTTACTGCTAACACCATTGACAAGGACATAGGTGTTTGCATCCATGTATAGAGCCTTAACAGTGTTTGTAAATTCATCAGGGAACCCATATTTTTGGAGTACTTTCCATAGGTAGTCATGTTTAATTTTGTCATAGGCTTTTTCCTGATCTAGGGCAATGATTACACCATTTTGCTCTTTTGCCTCTGCTAGGTTTATGATGAGTTTGGAGAGCCATATTTGGTTGTATATATGTCTGCCTGGGACAAAGCCAGCTTGTGTTGGGTCAATTAGTTCTGGTGCAGTCTGTGCAAGTTTGATTGTAAGTGCCTTTGACATGATCTTATAGTCTGTGTTTAGGAGTGATATGGGCCTGTAGTTGGCCATCTGTGCTCGGTCATTTTTCTTGTAGAGGGGGCACATCCAACTTTCTGAGAACTTGGTGTTTGGGGCCATACCATTGCACTCAATGTCATTATAGACTATTCTTAAGGTTTGAATAAGGTTGAAGGCTGCTCTGTCATGTGCAATGGCATTTTTGTATCTAGCATGGATCAGTTTCCAGATCTCATAACTGATTCCATCCAGCCCTGGTGCTTTGTAGTTGGCCGAAAGCTTCAATGCATATTCAATATTTTCATCTGTGAGTTTTTCTTTCAGGTTCTGGCAGTGTGGCTCAGAAAGTTTTTTTGTGATATTTCCTAGGATGCGGGCTGTAGTCTGTTCACGGAGTGTTACATCTGGTGGGGTTGGGTCCTTTTGTAAATTCCCATGGTAGATTCCTAGCATGTCAGCCATTTCTGGTGAGCTTGTTGTATATTCTGGCTGTGGCTCTGGTGCTGCTTCTGGTTCGTTATTTTGTCTAGCCTGGTTCAGGGGGGGCAGAGTGCCATTTTGGGCATGAACGGTTGATTGTGTTTGGGGTTTCATAAGGCGCTGTATGAGGTCTCTTGGACTTTTCGATTTGTTTGCATTTGACCAATACCGGGATATTGTTTCCCCCTGAAGTGCATTTCTTGCTTTGGCCATCACTCTTGTAGTTTTGTGTTTGTGCTTTTCTAGGGATGCTAGGGCTTCATTTAGCATTGCAGTAGTTATTGCTCGTTCATCCTCAGATAATTCTGGGTCATTGCTGACAATATCAATCTTGGCTTCTAGCTCAGATATTTTTTTTGTTAAGTGGGGCATCACAATTTTGGAGCGTTTCCTTGCAAGTTCAACAAATCTCTTTTTGAAGTCTGCCCATACTGTTTGGGCATTATGGTTTGCATCCCATTCATCCTGGGCTTCTAGGTCCAGGATCATGTTTTCAGCTCTTATTCCTTCTGTTTCAATGAAGGTCATAATAGCCTTGTCATACATCAAGTGTGGGGGGGAGATCCATCTGCCCCTCCCTATCACTGGAGCTGTTTCTGAAGTGAACCGTACTGAGACTAAGCTGTGATCAGTATCAACTGCTGTCTGCTCAATTTTCCATTCAAAGGTATGTTCCATGTCCTGAGCCCGAATATATATTCTATCCAGGCGTGAGTGTCTTAGTCTTTGCCCTGAAATGTTCTGCTTGAATGTGTACTTTAGGGTGTCTGGGTATGTGTTTGTCCACCCATCTTCTAGTTGTAGTGAACATTTCAAGCTGTCAAAAGAGCTTGTTATTGCAGTAGGGTCACTGCATGCAGGAAGGCGGTCCAGTGGTTCCTCCACCATGTTCAGGTCTCCAAGTAATATGTTTGGTTTTTTTATCCGCGGGTGTCGATCATAAAAGTCTTCAATTTTTCCCCAAAATGCAGCATTAGTTGCACTATCAGTGTTTGGTGCATAAACTGCCAAGATTGATATTCGCTCATCATTGTGCCAGTTGGTTTCAATTATAATTGCATGACCAGCTACAACTTCATACATTTGTATTCCAATGGTATTTGTGATTCTCATATTGAAGACCACGGCTATTCCAGCTTTGTTTCGTGAGTCTGGGAGTTTAGAGTAGAATATTTTCAAGTCATTTCCATGTATCCGTGTTATTTCATCTCTGCGTTCATCGTCCATGTGGGCTTCCCCTACTACCAGAACTCCGATCTGCTTCTGCAGCACCATAAGCCGTATATCTGACCATTTATTTCTTGCATCATCAAAGTTCATTGACCCATGTCCTTTGATGTTGAGGCCTGCAAACTTGATTGAGGCTTTGGTGTTTTTTGAGCATTTGTGTCGGTTTCGATTCCTGGTTGGGTTTGGGTTATTCTCTCCATTCCGGTTGTGTGATGGGGCATTTTGTTCATTCAGTGCTGGAGTTTCAGACCGTTCCCTTGGGCCATGTTGACTGGGTACAGGTTGGTTGGAATTGGTATTCCGCTGTCCATTATTTAGACTTTGGTCATGAGTTATTGTGTCTCGTGAACCAGATGGGACCTGTTGTCCCAGGAAGCGCTTAATTCTTAATCCTCCCTTTCTCGCCACGATGCCCTACCTAGTCTCTGCGAAAGAACAGTGAATCCGTGAACCTAATTGACGTATTCTCGTTTTTGGACAAGGTCCGCACTACCTACCTTTTCTTCTATACTGACTGGCTTTTGATCCGGCAGAATTTGCAATGAATCAAGAACGGTTTCTTGTCTAAAGATTTTATAACTCTTCAGCTGGATGACTACGATTGTTTCGCTTGCATGGAGATTCAGGATGGAACAGCTAGCCTGGAAGAACAAGTGAGCTCCTGCACTGATTCATCGGAACCCATAGCACGGACCTGCACGGTTCTCTCATTGTAATCTCCTTTTAATTCGACAATTCAGTCCCCAAGCGGCAGTCATTGGCGACATGGTACTATCCCTGAAGAAATAATGCACAAGCAGGGGGTACTAATTTCAAGTTCATTGATGTGACCTCTCTACTCTGCTCGTTTCTTTACTGTTCAAGTTTTCCTCTACCTCGGCCATCCTCTTTCCCTTCCTGAAGGTGTTGAACCTACAGTTTATTACTAGTGTTATACTTATACAGCTGACCTATAGTCTCGTCTCCACTGTTACTTTGAGTTTTCAATTGGCTTTTCCCTTTAGGCTTTTACTCATGTCACTTCTGTGAACAGGAACAAGACATGTGCGGAAATGGAAGTTGAATGTGGATTTTGATCCGACTCGACATTTGCAGAGGCTTTGTCGATTCATATGTAGCTACCTTAACTGAACTGGACACCTTCATCTCTCCCCCCCTCTTCCACTTAAGCTGCTTCCTGAATGCCATTTGTAGTCAGCTCTCCTTCAAGATTGATTTCTTGCTTAGTATTTGGGCCTTTGCAGAGTCTATCAGGGAACTATGCGGAGAGACCATGTATTTGACACCATTCTTCTGCGCCTCCTGCTTTCTTCCTTGGGATCTACTAGGTCTTGGCTCTTCAAATGGAGCCTATCCCCTACACATGTCATTTGGTGCTCCTTCATTGAACTCTTCAGACTGGCAACAATTTAGGATGAACTGGTTCACTCACTTGCTCGCTTTTCTTCACTTCGAAAGTTCCGGACGGATGCGATGATTTGGGAGTTCAAACTAGCTAGAAAGAACCATTAGTGTGAGTAGGGTTGCAGTAACCGGTTGTTCTAACCATCATGCAATGACCCTAAAAAATATACATGCGTACATGTGGTGTCCCTCTGGCCAGTCCAATGCCTGTACTTGAGTATTTAGACTACTTATTAGCTACATTGTCCAAAATGCTAAGTCATTTGAGGATAATGTTATGATTCGACCCAGGTTCGAGCTGAGGTCTTCCGTGTAACAGATAGAAAAGGCAGAGATGTTAGACAGATGCGATAACCAACTTCGGCATCGAACCATACTAACAAGCAACAAATCAACCAAGGTTTACAATCATCGAATTTGAACAATGAATAATGTTACATTGCATATCATTGGACCTACACCCACTCCCTCGGATTCCTCAATACCTCCAGCACCTTCCCCTCCTCCGAATCCTCCTTGGTCTCCATCTCCGACATATACTCCCACCTCGCCACCTCCGGCAAACTCATCAATATACTCTCCACCCTCGCACCAGGCGTCATCAATCCAAACTTGGTCCCTCTATCATACACCAGATTAAACTCGACGTATCTTCCTCGACGGAGGAGCTGCCACCTTCGCTGGTCAGGCGTATACGCCATACGCGCACGCTGGGAGAGGGTGGGGATGTATGATGGCACGAAGGCGCCTCCAAGGGATTTGATGAGGTGAATATCTCTGATTGATTTTTTTTTCGAGGATCAGAGGGGCTGGGGATACGAAGATGCTCTCCGTCATGGAAATCATCGAAAAAGATCCCACCTATGCCTCTCCCCTCTTTCCGATGCGGGATATAGAAATACTCATCGCACCATTTCTTCAAAGCGGGGTAAAGCGCGGTGAGAATGCGTCGCAGGCGGATTTGTGGGTTTGGTGGAAATGCGTAGCGTCGGCGGGATAGAGGTAGGATGGCGTGAGGTCTGCGCCGCCGCCGAACCACCATGCGAGGACTTTCGGTGAGTCAGAGTCGGAGTAGGAGGGATCGTTGATCTCGAAATAACGATAGTTTGCGTGAGATGTGGGGGCGTGAGGGTTACGCGGGTGAATCACTAGGCTGATTCCAGCTGCGAAGAAAGGTAAACCACCAGGTGCATCTTCCGGGAGAGGCATCGACGCATGATCTGCACGCATTTGTTTTATGGCTGGAGGAGGAAGTGTACCGTGGACGATGGAGATGTTGACACCGGCTTTTTCTAGGACGAATTCCGATGGTGGTGCAGAGGTGTTATTCGTTGCTGCTGGTGCGGAAAAGACACAAGATTGGCCTGAACCGCCTTCAGCTCGTGTCCAGCTGTCGCGTTTAAATTTTGGCGCAGTGGGATCGAGGTTTTCCAGGGACTGGACGATTTCTTCCTGGAGTGAGCGGATCCAGGATTCCATTTTCTCGCGCATGTTTTCTTCCATCATCGGAGCGATGAAGTGGTAGTGAGAGAAAGACGGAAAGCAAGCTGGTTTTATCTGGAATCCAGCCGGAGATCTAGACCGGCCCGCAAGTCGCGAGCGCTCGTCTAGAGCGAGTCTGCCGTATACGATTCGATTCAGGTTCAAATGCAGATGTGGACTATTAACCGTCTTTCCGCTCTCGACGGTGTTTACCGAACAATTGCTCTCGGAAGGAGAACTCGATGAAGACGGGACAAGGAATCATCAAGTGATCAAGTTGAAGTCCAAAGGCCATCTCGAGACTACGTATGTTTTCGGTAAGTGAACTGTTCCTTTGTCAAACTTTTTTGGACCACTCCTTTAACGGAAATGGGACATTTTCGACTTTCATTGAAGTTTTTCTCGAAAGTTTGAAGCTGTCTGAAAATTGCTGGCACTGAGATGGAACTCTAGTATGGATGATAAAGGCTTCTCTCAATATATCAACGCGACTCTGAACTTCCAAATAAACAGCTTTGACCTATCCAAGACCTATCGAAGCAGAAGTTAGCTAAGGTCCGATGTGTTCAAGATCTTCATGCTTTCTCCTTTCCTGATCATATCTATCAATTATCGCTTCAATCATTCGGTATAGAATGAATATTTATTTAAGCTCGTTGTCTTGACCGGTCAAAGCTGGTGTCAGCGTCGAATCTGAGTCGGATTCAACCTAATTTGAATGCTCCATATTATCTATGCTTACCAAAAGGACTGCGTCTCGAAGCATTCAGAGACCCGCATCTATCCAATATCTAACCCATTTCCGTATAATCGTATCATCGAGAGGTTTGAGAGTCCTTATCCTTTCACTCAACCTCTCAACATTCGTCGTTTGCAATGGAGTTAAACCCGCACTTTCAAAGGTCGTTTCTCCGGATTTCCTGAGAGCACTATCTGCACTGGATTGTAGCCGATAGAAATCAAGCAGTTTCACAGCAGGCTAAAACAAACATAAGCATTTGCCACATTCCCCATAAAACGTTATACTCACGACAATTTGTGTGTTCGCCTCCGTTGGATGTTTTGCATGCTTCTCGATTGTATCGACCCAATCATGATATGATACAAGCTGAAGGGAATCGGAAGAGAGATGCTTTTCCTCAATGAGAGCGGTTCGAATGCTCTGGGCAACATAAGTCCAGGATACTGATTTTGGATGCACAACATTTACAGCTATGGGTACTGGCCCACGACTGAAACCGACGTCGAGCAAAGCACTGCATACTGCATCTATTGGTATCCACGAGACAACCTATGAAGGACAGTAAGCGTCGGTAAACTGAAAGGAGAAAGATATGCGTACGCACCCCAAAGGCATCTGGTAGCACGCCAATACTTAAACTTGATCGGACAAGGATTGGGACCCAGTCGCTCGTTGGCCAAGCACCATTTGGAGCTCCACCTGCAACCTGACCGATCCGGAATGATGTCGCTTCGAGTCCACTCTTTGCCAGTATCTGTACATACAAATTGGTCAGGGAGATTTATGGGCCTAACCAACACACGTACCCTTTCAGTAACATATTTACTCTCGCCATAGCCTCCCCCAACGGCGTATTTTGCGTCCATGACAACATGCTCGGGGTATGGACCTAGGGTTTTGGCATCCCACGACTGAGTCGACCCAATCGATGATGTGAACAAGAATCGGACTGAGGATGAATGGCGACTAGATCGAGCGAGATTGATTAGGACTCGGGATCCTTTGACATGCGATTCAAACGATGCAAGTGAGAGATTGAAATCCAGTCTCCAAGCATTGTGAATAACCACAGTCAAATTTTGACGGAGCTGTTGACTTGGTCAGAGCAAAAAGATCAAAGTAGTCGCAGATGGTACTCACCTCCTTCAAAGTACCCTCAGGCAGGCTGAGATCTTCGTGTGAGGTTTTTCCGGCTAAAAAGACTAATTTCGGCGACGACAAAAGGGAAATATCGAGGGACTTGTCCTGGAACCGAGCGAGATGTCTCTCATACATTGATGTTTTGGTAGATGGTCGATTGAGGGTATACACACGGGTTACAGAGTCGTCCAGCAGCAATGACTCTAGCAACTGAGCTCCAAGGTTCCCAGTAGACCCCGTCAGCAACACGTATTGCTGTGTCGGATCAACTAGAGCAGGGTGTGGAAGCGGAGCATCTAAACCCTGTGAGTAATTGGAGATCATTTCTTCTATAGATTCTTCGTGACTCTTTGACACATTCAGAGCAACGGTGCCTTCACTAGGATTGGCGACAACCTTTTCTAGAACGTTTGCAAGCATTGCAATCGTAGGATAGCTGTAGACTATGTTTTGAGTGATTGTGGATGCAAGGGGGGCGATACCTGAATTCCGAAAAGCACCGACCAGACGGAGACGAAGGATTGTTGCAGAGAGACTTTGGGTGATCGTTGTTGAGTTGGCCAACGTAAATGTCTGGAAAGACATACCTATCAAGCCCGTGCTCAAATAGATCTGCAGTGATAGCAGGAGCTTCCGCTGAAAGAACGTCCGAGATTTGACCAACAAGCCAGGGCCGGATGTCAGCTATTTCCCAGCTTTTAGGCGGTTCGATGGAATCGCCTCCAGAGTTTGATTCTACAGTTTCATACCTGTACAAAGAACAACAGTGTTGTAATCAAGTTATGCAACGTACATTTGACTTACAAGCTGTCAATCTCAGAGTCATACAGCGCCAGGGCTGCTTTTCTTGCCACAGTACCTTTTCCCACACGAGGAAGAGGTTTTTGGCGATCGACAACAAGGATCATCTCTTTGAAGATTCTACTGAACGCAGGTGCAACTTTGTTGGTTTCTTCGATCGTGGGCCTTGAGATGTGTTAAATACAATCGACACGATAAAACCAAGGTCAATTACCAGATCAAATTTCTGAATTTGCTGACTTGTACGCTATCGTTTACATCGATCTGATAGGCCGGTAAAGGTTCAAGGAGAATTCCTGGCTGGTCTCGCTGCCTTCCAAATATGATTGCTCCACTGACCCTATAAAGATAATGAGAAGAAGCATTCAGGGAAGGAAATAAAACTCTTACATGGAATTAGCTGAGACGATGGCCTCCATTGGTGCGGGGTCGGTTTTTTCACCGCTCGAGTGGATGATCACGTCATCGATTCGACCAACACTGGAAGGAATGAGAACATGAAGAGTGCAACAAAATTGTAAGGTGCTCACATTCTCCATAGGCTAGGAATGGTCGGGTGTGGCTCGAACAAATCTGAGGTTGAATAACCAAGGACGTCCGGGAGGTTCTCGATAGCAACATGGTGAGTCTCAGAAGTCTATCGACAGCACGGTCAGTCAAAGCTCAGCAATAGTCAATGGACCTACCAAAAACTGAGCCTCGTATGTTCCATCCCCTTGAGCCACCCAGCGAATATCTATCCCTTCCATGAACTCGAAATACTGCCACGTCTCGGTGTCCATTCGTAATTTACTAACATGGCCAAATTCTGTCCCACCGTATCCGGAATTAACGGTGACTCCTCGGGCAATAAGCGAATCGGCAATTCGTGGGGCAAGAGGTCCTCCGCTGTAGGTCTGCACGGCGAATGGTCTCAGAGGCTTAAGGAGCGTACGATTTCAGCAGAGGAGCTTACCACGAAGCGAAGAGTTCGAAGAAATTCCACAGCATCGTCAGACTGGAACCAAATGTGGAAAAACGTGGGGACTGCTATCATGGCCGAGATTTTCACGACTTTGGCAGCATCTAGAACATTCTCAGCTGTTGCTAGTACTGGCACAGCGTCCGGCCTTGTCACTGTAGGTGCAAATACCGCGGTCGTGATAAGCCCATACAGAGGCATGAGTATTTGGAAACAGAAGGCCATCATGTGGAATGTTGGAAGACCT